GAGGAAACCATTGCTGCACACAGGCAAGCTGCATATGGGCCAGGGCGGAAGCCACATTGAAGTAGAAGACCCTCCCTTGCTTCCCAGGTCACCTCAGCAGCGAGATATCTTCCAGGACAAACTCCTGTGGAAAATGTGGGGACAGTGTTCAGTATAGGGGCCTCTTGCAGCAGTTGGCTCTCCCCAAGGCACAGAAACCCGGAGGACAGTACAGCCATGAAAGAATCAGTTCCCCTTGACCTTGTGCTTACTCATCATTTTGGGGCTCCCAGGGGTTGTGCGCGCTCGTTTTGGAATGAGCAAATTAAGCTACTGTGTAGACTGTGCTTACCCTCCTTAAGTACGGGGGAATCCTTGCTCCGTCTGGTGTGAACAATGCTGCCTCTGTTAAGTGTTGCATTTTGCCTTTACAGATGCAACCTTGAGATCTCAGCCGTCTGGGTTGTCACCTGACGAGAGGCTGCAAAGAACCAGGAAGAGGCCAGGTAGAAGCAAAGAGGACATGCAGCACTCCCTTAATGAAAATCAAAAAGTGCAGGAGTGGCGGAAGAGTGAAAGGAGGGTCCGCCAGCAGAATGCAGATTGCCAGCCCCAAAGCATGGAGCGGCTGATAAGCATCATGGCGAGCCAAGCGGACTCGACCCAGGCACTCGTAGCCATGCAGGCAGAGCACTACCGCGCCCGCCTGGCCCTGCAGCCCTTGTACCAGAACTCTTTCCCTTGTTCCCCCACGTCACCTCCAACCCACTTTCCCCAACATCTGGGTTCTTATCGCCACCAGCTGCCTCCAACACCTATAGCTTCACCACCCAGCCCTGAAAACTACGACCCTTACCCACTGCACTCAACCCCCATCACCATGCAGTATAGCCATCCTGAAGTGCAGCACTCATTGCACAGCACTCCAGACAGGAAGGCTGAGTATGATAACAGGACATACGCAAATCTGTGATTGTACCGTTCCCCACCCCACCCCCTTGCCCTGTTTCCCAAGCAGTTGTGTTTCTTTTCAATAAATGCATTTTCTTTTCAATAAATGGATTTTTTTTGCTTTGAAAACATTCTTTATTATTGCATAAAGTAAAAGATACCTTAGCCCAGGAAAGCAACAGGCACTGCAAGTCAGTGTATCATACGTAGCAAACACAGATTACTACTCACATTGGAACCATTGCACTTTACTCCTGTGCAGGGCACCGGACATTACTGGTGGCTTTCAGCCTCAAATTGCTCCCTCAAGGCATCCCTAATCCTTGCAGCCTCAAGCTGGGCCCCTCTAATAGCCCTGCTCTTTGGCTGTTCAAATTCAGCCTCCAGGTGTTGAACCTCTGAGTGCCATGCCTGAATTAATCTTTCACCCTTCCCTTCACAAATGTTATGGATGGTACAGCACGCGGATCTTCTGGTCTGTGAAAAAAGTCCCGGCTTGCAGCTTCCTGAACAGGCCAGTGTTCTGAAAGATGTGTGCGTCATGCACCTTTCCGGGCCAGCCTGCGTCAATGTCAACGAAACGCCCATGGTGATCCACAAGCGCCTGGAGAACCATAGAGAAATACCCCTTCTGATTAATGTACTTGGAGGCTAGGTGGGCTGGTGCCAGAATTGGAATGTGTCCCATCTATCGCCCCTCCGCAATTAGGGAAACCCATTTGTGCAAAGCCAGCCACAATGTCATGCACGTTACCCAGAGTCATGGTTCTTCTGAGCAGGATGGGATTAATGGCCCTGCAAACTTGCATCAACACAATTCCAACAGTCAACTCCGTACTCCAAACTGGTTAGCGACCGATCGGTAGCTGTCTGGAGTTGCCAGCTTCCAGATTGCAATAGCTCGTCAGCATATTCCTCAGCAGTTCAGGCTCCATTCCCGCAGACAAAAAGGGAAGATAGAGCGCGCAGTACAAAAAACGTTGAAAGATGGCGCCAATTGTGGACGGAAGCAGAGGGATTGCTGGGATTCGAACCGATGCATCATGGGGCATTGGGACAGGACCCCAAATGCCCCGCACCTCTCGCCCCCTTCCCACAAGCCATAGCACCAGAATGGGAAGAGGTGCGCTGTGGGATAGCTGCCCACAATGCACCACTCCCAATGCCTCTGCAAGTGCCGCAAATGTGGACACGCCAGTGCACTTGCAGCTGTCAGTGTGGGCAGACTGCAGCGCTTTTCCCTACTGCGCTTTATGAAGGCTAGTTTAATTCAAAGCGCTCTACATTTGCAAGTGTAGCCATGCCCTAAGCTTCTACGAATTGGACTCCTTTCCCAAAAGTTGTTTGAAGAATATCAGAAACGTTTTTACAATTACTTAGATTTTTAGAAGTATTTTTGAAGAGCTACTGTTATGACCCCAAACAATAGCCACTGTTTATGTGAGCCACACAAAAACAATGGCTTGGTTCTTGTACCACCTCTGCAATAGATATTTCATTGACAAGCATTATTCCCTACAGCTGCGATGAATACATTAATGATGTTGCTGCACAAACAAGAAAGTCAGCCACAGAAATCATATTGGAGAACATCTGTCATAAATTCTTGCCAACTGAAGGCCAAATGAAATATAAAATCCACCCAATTATCTCTACATAGTAGATTTTTTCCCCTTGAGTTTGTCCTTTCAGCACCCTCAAAAACATTTGCTGCAACAGCATTTCTTGAATATGGTCCCAGGATATACTTAGTTTAGGGACAGAATTAAACCCTTTGTTTAATTCTTTTTATATCAGGGATGAATTTAGTCTTTTATTCAAATTTCTCCAATGAGGCACTATTTCTTATTTTTCATGATCAAAAACAAAAATTAGCTGATCACTCTTTAAAGCTTTTCAATATATTCAATGACTGAGGGGAATAACAAAGGAAATCGGCAATATATTCTGCATTTTATAAGTGTTCATGTTAGGAGCAGAATTTAAAGAAATCTTCTATAATATCCAAAAAGCTACTTTTTTTTTTTTAATATCATCACAGAATATCTCAAGTCCATACTTTCTGTAAGACCATTTTCCCTCACATCTGCCCTGTTAGAAATGAATTTCACATACTGAAGTTCATCAGAACAGTTTTGCTTGACAACATGCATCAGTTATTTGTACAGAATTTTAGGCAAAAATCATTTCAAGCTAGTATGCACATGTATATATGAAACACAAACAGCTAATGTGGACAGTAGGGACTTGCAGTCCCTTTAAAAAACAGGTCTACTCCTCTACCCCCTTCCTCAGACATAAACCATCATTAGTATTAGGAGACAAATGGAATTCCCAAGCAGAATAAGCCCCCCCAAATGTTTAGACTTCCTTAAAAATTAAAAGCATAACAAGTAACTATCCAATTTCCTGATAATTGTCTATTGACTCAGCCTATAGACTTCTGAGTACATGGTATACTTTTTAAAATGTTGTCAAAGCCACTTTTAAAAGCCACTTTTCAGCAACTGTACATATTAATGAGCATGCAGCCTAACATCAGCCCCTTGCCTTTCGCTATGCACTTTTGTTATGTTGTTGACTAGAATGACCAGCTATAAATAGCTGAGCAAAGCTGTGTCTATACACTATGATTAAATCATACAAACAAGCAGCATTCAAACTATTTTAGGGCGTGTTAGAGTCCCCATTCAACATGGGCATCTGAAAAATACAGTAATGGCTACCATCTCAATTAGCATTTAAGTTGTTTTGATCGGAGCTTTAGGAGTCTTTTTAACAGGTGAAACAAAATTACATAAGACATTCATAGCTCCGTTGACTAATTTGTGAGCATGTATATCTGCAGTATATAAATACACAAAGGACTACGAAAAACATACCAAACAGTATTGAGCACAGCCTGTGACATGACCCACACACACACAAAATCACTTCACATTTTCAACACAAGAAAGTCTTTCGCTGCCAGCTTGTCGGTATAGGGAAGGCAGTGCTGGTGTCACTCACTTTGCCCCCACCCAACCCAGGAGTTATGGTGAGTCAGGACAGGCCAGCCCCGCACCGCACGGGTCTAACAGCCCCTGGACAACAGCGCAGGAGGGACAGATGCCTTCACGC